AAGACAATAAACTAAAACCAGTTGCCTACGGATCTCGGACATTGCGACCTGAACAGCGTAATTGGCCTATAATGCATATAGAATTATTTGCAATAATAATGGGAATCAGAGAGTATAAATGCTACTTAATGAATAAGAAGTTTACAATAATAACAGATTGCAAGTCACTTACCTGGTTAAGCCAAACAAATCATACTAATGGTCGATTAATTAGATTGAACCAAGAATTGTCTCAATATCATATAACATAGTTCATCAACCTGGAAAAGAAAACTTAGTATGTGATGCTTTCTCAAGAAACCCGTCTACTCAATTAGCTAGTCAGGAATATAATGAATTAACCGACATTCAAAACATACACATCGTAACAGATGATGAACAACTACAAACAAATACGAAAATTGTTATAGACATTCCGGAAGATTGGTAAACTGCATCCATAGTAAATATTATTTGTCTTAATGAAACCGACGATATAAGCATAGATGAACACAATATTACGAAATTACAAAAACAGTGCCCAGAAACTAGACAAATATATGCTTACTTAGATCAAGAAATATTGCCAGAAAAGAACGGTGAATCTAGAAAAATTATATTAGAATCAAATCAATATGAAATTTTAAATACAAAACCATACCATATTTTTCAATCAAGAGCTAAAACGTCAGTATCGAATAAACAATTTATTCACCAATTAGTTGTTCCAAAAGTTCTCCAAAAGTCTGTTATGAAAGCATATCATGATAGTGTACAAGGTTGTGACATTGGTTTCAAAAAGATTTATGAAACAATTAAATCAAAATACTTTTGGAAACGCTGTTATCAAGATGTATATGATTATGTAACCTCAAGTGAAGTATGTCAAGAATCCAAAAGAGACATAAATATTCGAAAAACACCACTAAAGCCGTATCAAATTGACCCAATATTCTATAGATGGCACATAAATATATTGAGTGGCTTAAAGACTTCAAGTTCAGGAAATAATTGTATTTTATTAATGGTTAATAGTTTTAGCCATTGGACTGAAGCCAAAGCTTTGCCAAATCAAGAAAGTGCGTTAGTAGCTGAAGCAATTTTCGAACATATTATCAGCAGATTTGGAGCACCAGGCAAAATAATTTGCGATAATGCAAACAATTTCGGATCGAAGGTGGTACATACCTTATGCAAGCAATTAAACATATTTAAGCCAAAAATATATGCATGTAAGACATCTTCAAACGCTACGGTAGAGAGAGCAAATTCAACAATATTACAAACATTGAGAACGATATGCAAAAAATAAACCTGATAACTGAGATAAATTACTAAGCTGCTTAATGTCACTACGTATGTCACCATGTTTAAATTCTACCAAATTTAACCCTTTTTATTTAATGACAGGCAAAAATATGGAACTTGACATAGACCGACAATTACAAGTTAAGATGCGGCATTTTGCCATTACGCGTTGAGACAGGACGTTACATTGGTGAACGTGTTGAAGATAGACTCTGTAGATTTTGTACCGATCAGTGTATCGAAAACGAAGAACATTTTGTAGTAAAGTGCTCATTTTATAGACATATACGTTCTGAATACTTTGGTGAACTATTTAATACAAATGATTTTAACTCAAAGACTGATTCAGAAAAATTAGTTTATTTGATAAATAACAAATCTAGAACTCCTGCTAAATACATTGTCAAATCATACTTGTACAGACGTGAAAGCATTTACAGATAATCTTATAACTTATAGTTATAGCTACGATTTTTTACAAATGAATTTGTTAATATATTTACTTATGACTTTATGTAAATGTCTCATGTTTATTGAAGGTGACTTATAGGCCCATTGGGCCGGGTGTATGTAATATGTTGTATTATTTTAATTTGTAAAATATGTTTACACATGTCACTATAATAAATAAATTACTTACTTACAAACAGAAACGCAACTAACAGGTAATGCGAAAGGTTTCAATTATAACATGGAGATCAAGCCCATGTAAATATGGAAAAAAACACAATTAAACTATAAAGAAAGATACGATTCTACTGCAAGAGAACCCTCATTCAAAGTAGGTGATCACGTAATGGTTCGTATTGAAAAGATTCCAAAGGGGACATCAAAAAAGCTTTATCCTAAATTTTCTGGTCCTTATTTTATTACAAAGGCCGGAAAATATAATTCTTACCAATTACGAAATTGTAGGACCAATAAGCAGATGAAACATTTTATGCACGCCAATAGATTAAAACATTATACAAATCCCACAGATTACAACATAAATACGAGACAAAACGATCTTATACGAAATAGGACCCAATAATTATAATGACCTAGTACAAAATACAAATCATCAAAATGTTCAAAATAACGAAAAAAAAAATAATTATAATAATAATAATAATAATAATGATGATGATGATGATGTTAATAATGATGACAATAATAATGATAATATTAAGGATGATGATGATGTGCAAAATACCAAAAAGGATACATGGTACAGAGTAGATCGACTATTAAAAACAAAAATTATAGATTGAATACGTCATTTCCTAGTAAAATGGCCAAACAAACGTTACAAACCTAGTTGGGAGCCAACACAAAACATTACACCACTCTTAAAAGAACAGTTTCATATTCAGCGATCAAACAGGTAAACACAGACATTAACAAATAACATCCAATCATTCCTAGACAAAATAAACAAATCTGACCAAACGATAATTATTTCCTCTTCATCACCCCCACGTTTTTTACATTATCAATAATCATTGTATACAGAGTCTATACATAGGCAGCATTGCTCACATTATTAATGGTAAGTGGTATACAATGAGAACACATAAACACAGCTTGAGATTAGCGCAAACACTTGCATAAGTTTAGAACCTATTTATTAGAACTTTATGGACAAAAATTTCAAAACAAACAAAGTCCTGCAGGCCATTTTTTTTCTTTCAAGGTATGCCTGTGTTTGCGATGTTTCTTTGGCTTTGGTTTATGATCCTTCCAAGGAGTATGGCCACACAAGATCATGTCCATTACGAGATTATGTTTCATGAAGAAAGCCTCATTCACAACCGAATATTGGTTACATACTTATGTGATTGATCTGCCCAAGATTAACAAATTATCAACTCTACCTTTCTGTGAAGGATCTGGTAAACGATGTAGTACTAAAAATATCATAACGGCAAATGTAAATATGCTACGCCAAAATATATTACATACAGTAAATGAAACTAAAGGGCTGAATGATGATTTAATACCAAATACTAACACATCTAAGTCTAAGAGAGCTTTATTTCCTTGGTTAGGTTCAATTATACATGATATAACAGGTACTAATAATGAATTAAGTCAAGTCAATAACCACATTAAGAACTTACAAAAGGCAATAAAAAGAATAACGTCCGTAATGAGCCAGCAAGATTCGGATTTCTCTTCTTATGTTAAACTCATAGATACATTTTTTTTCAAATTTAATGAAATCAATCCAAAATAATGCAAACACTAACATGGCACTAGCGAATCAAATAATACAAAGCTCACAAGCTATAGAACATCACTTTGATCAAATAACCACTGTTCTATCAACTGGAATTTCTATTCCGCTTACCTTATGCATCAGTTAGATCAATTACAATCATCGATTGTATTACTATCGGAAAATAAGCTATCTGCAACCCTTGTCCGGCCACATTAGCAGCTACAATCACACCTATAATTAGAATATTAAGTACTAATTATAAGGAGCATCTCTTAGCTGCTAATGATGTTAAATACTATTACAAATATGCGAAATTCTTTGCTACAAGAAATAATGACAAGTTACTAGTAACATTACAATTTCTTTTAACTTCTCCGCAAAAATTTTCATTGCAAAAAGTGTTTAGTTTTCCACATCCGGTAAATAATTCGGATAATCAAAATCATGTAACGCACCCGATTATGTTGCGATATGTAAAGATGGACAATACTTTACTACTATGATTTAAGAGGTAGCAAATACTTGCTAAGGAACTTCTTTTCGTTTATGCAAATTTCAACCAAAGTTATATTCAATTAGTAAACCGAATTGTATTGCTTTAGCAATAGAAAGCAAATACATGAAAATTGCAATTTCAGATTTCTTCAAAATACTATTAAACCACATTTCATGCATGTAGGAAACAATAAGGGGATTGTGTACAGAATACCTAAAATAATAATGGAATGTAGGCAAAATCAACGGCATATACTTGCTGGTCGTAACTTTTGCATTATAGATATCCCTTGTGGATGTACTATATTAACAAATAACTGACTTTCAAGGACATCTTACAGGTTGCATAGATACAAAATTCATAATTCATTAGAATGGAAATGTCCGTAATTCTACCAAAGATAGAAGTACATGTATTTCGATCAAAGCAAACTTTCAAAATACGTGGCCAAGGATAAGAAGTTTAATTTAAACCTGAAACATTGCTGAAAGGGCGAAGAATAATAGTGTTATATATAATTCAATTTCAAATGCATATTTAAATAAAGATTTAACATACGATACAGGTAAAGTTAAAAACATAAACTTTATACTTAAAATACTGAAATCTTAGGTAGTCATCAAAGCAGGTAGTAATCATTGATTTTACAAACAAAACATCTATGCTTGTAGTGTAAATTGCATTTTCAAATAACACTGAAATACTAGTATACATGTACTAACAAAAGCCAAGTACACCTTTTGTTTTAACCTGTGTTTGATCAAGCCGAACATACAAATAAAATTTGTAAGTAAATTTTGTATCATGATAAAACATACTAAACTCATATATTTTTTTCCTTCCTTCATGTATTGAAATATGATACATTGTACATAAAACAATATGTATTAACTACAATTTCCGGAATAATCTTTAATCAAACACAGATTTTCATGATTCGATTTACAGATTAATATTTCCTAATGTCACTGTTGTCACATTGCTTTGGTATGTTACTTTTCGTCATAATTAAAGGCATGAGAATAAATTATATACATATATATAGTTATTGTATAATATAAATATTTTGTTCTTTTTCAGTCAGAACTATCAACGGTTCCTGCTGTATATGCACAACATCTTCAAGATATATCAAACATCAAAATGACAAGTAGCTATGGTAACGCAGTTAATTCGTTCGAAAAAATACTAGAAACCGTGAAATATGAGGAAAACTTTGATGTGGAAGATGACAGTAATTATGATATAACATCAGATGAAGAAACAGACGAGCATACTTTGTGTTTTGATTTTGACACGGAATTTAATGGTCACGAATCAATACATCAAGTGCATTATGTAAGATACCAAGGAGACGATGTTGGGCATCAAGAAAATGACGTCATACATCAAGAATATGGTACGTCACGTCGAAAAGAAACTGATGCACACGTAGAAGAAGATGCAATACAAGAAGATGCTAAACCACGAAGACAAAGTGCTCTACACAAAACAGATGATGTTATTTGCAAAGGAGATATCGCTAAACGGAAAAGAGATTTTAAAAAACAAAAATCAGTCGAGAACAAATGTGGAATTTGTCATAAATCGTTCAAGCGCAGATATTTGTTAGTACAGCACATGTCGTTACATACTGGAGAATGTAACTACGAGTGTGTGATATGTAAAGAACGATTCCGATTAAAGAAATATCTTTATAAACACATGAGTCGACATAAAGATGATAAACAGTACAAGTGTCAGGTTTGTCAAAAATCTTATGACAGTCTTAAACTTTTTAATGACCACACGAATATTCACCGCGGCATCCGTTATCAATGCAAGTATTGTGAAAAGTCGTTTTCGGCCTCAAGCTCGTTAAAAGTTCACTTGAAACTACATGCTGAACCAGGAAGTTCCAAATTAAACTATTACGTGTGCAATATATGTAAAAAATCATTTGCGAGTGAAAGTTCATTAAGAATGCACATGGAAATACATAACGGAACACAAAACCAGATTTGCAACATTTGTGACGCTAGATTCAGCAGAAAACATGACTTACAGAGACACATGTTCATACATACTGGAGAAAAACCATACAAATGTTCACTATGTCTTCGAGCATTTCGACAACCGGGAGAGCTTGGTAGACATATGGCGTGGCATAGAGGTGATCACAAGCAATCGTGCAAGCAATGTGGTCGAAAATATGCTAGAAAGGATGAGTTTTTAAGGCATATTAGTACACATGAAAAAGAACTGAATAGTGCAGATGCAACCACAAACAAATTACAATGTAATGTTTGTAAAAAGTTTCTGACATCTGAAATAAAACTGCAGCAACATTTAGAAAAACATACACGTGAAGTTGTGACGCGAAAATGTGAGGAATGCGGAACCATATTTAGCACATCGAGTAATTATAAAAGACATGTAAGAGATAAACATAATCAGAAACAAGATGGCGTTACTTCGCCGAACTGTAGTAAAACAACGGAAGATATAACAGGTCCTTTCAAGTGTGACTTGTGCTCAAAGATTTTAAAAACCAAACACACACTAATTGCACACATGAATAATGTACATTTGAATAAACATAGCTTTGTCTGTTATAAATGTGACAAAACCTTTTTCAAGAAAAAAGATTTGATAATGCACGAAGAAAGGAAACATAAGAATTTATCATGATATTTTATCAGTGTTAAAAGCAAGTGCGGAACATCAAATGCATAGCCTGCCAAGAAAAGTTATAATACTCGTTGACCTGCTTTTCAATTGAATTTTGCATTTTTACTTTTTTATGTAAAAACCTTTTTTACAAGTTTGTCGAAATCTTTAATTGTCGAAAGCTTAATCAACCATTTGAACACATGTGCTATTGTCTATTATCAAATTATGGAATAAAAATTGGTAGGCGCTATCTCATTTGTTGTGAAAAAGTGATGCCATGTTTTAAAAAAATGTCCCAGAAATCCCATTCAAATGCATTATTAACTAGTATAAATGTATCGTCAATGTTTCATGCATCCTATATATCGCATAATGTAGAGGACTGTTTTGCTATTACAGCAGTCGAGTTTTAGGGAACATGGAGTTACCGCCCTTGAGTTGTAAAAGGAATAGAAAGGAGAATCAAGCTTACACATGCAAAAAAATACTTATAATACTAATATTTGTTGAATATCGAAAATTTGCAGAATTAACCTGAAAGGGTAGTAGTCCTTTCACCCTGCCGAATTTCAGAAGAAATAAATTAATTGTGTCAGAATTATCACGTGGTAAACATTTGCATCATGATAAGCGATATATATATAAACTTTTATTAGGATCTAAAATATTATTCACGCTGAAAAATCAGAAACATAAAATAAGTGTTTGCAGGCGATGCCTACCTTAATTGGAAACACCTGCAATGAACAAAAACCTCAAGATGCGAATTTTGAAAAACAAAATACCCGAGAAATTGCCTGAAACACGTAAAAAACGCAAAATTCCCGTTTTAAAAGATGTATTTTTCGCGTCTTGAGGTTTCATGATTTTGTCTTGAGGCAGACAGACAGACAGAAAACAGATGCTGCTTTGCGAAAGATATCACTAAATTGGATGTAACAAATTTAGTACAATATTAAATAGAAACATTAAATGAAAAGCCAGTCGGGAAAAGACCTTATCAAACTTTAACTGAAATGAAAAAAATATAGAAAAAGAAACTCAAAGATTATTAGATGCAACTATTATTGAATGTTCTGATAGTGAATGTTGTTTGCAACTCATTTGCTTGACAAAACTTTATAATGAATTTAGAATTGTAATTGATTATCGATACTTAAATGAAAAGTTTAAAGACGTAGTATACCCAATGCCTCTTGTTACTGATGCAATAGATGCAATAGATGAATCTAAAAGTAAAATATTTACTATACTTGACTTGAAGTCTGCATATTTTCAAATTTCATAAGATGGAACAACAAAACATAAAACTGCATTTAGCACTCATTACAATCATTTTAATTTCAAAGTTACTCCACAAGGTTTAGGCACTTCAAGAAGTTCTTTTCAAAGTAAAATAATTAAAGTATTTAAGGGCCTAGCTTGGAATATTTTAATAGCATACTTTGTTTTTCAAAGGAATTCGACGAACATATTAAACACCTATACAAATGATATTTGAAAGATTAAAACAAACTAATCTTTAATTAGCCCAAAACAAATGCAAATTTGCAACAAAAGAAGTGATTTTTTAGGACATTTAACCAAAAATCAGGGATAAGTCCGATAAGAATCGAACTCAGGCTATCGATGACCTTCCAATTCCAAAAACTATTAAAAATGTACTTCAAATATTAGAAAATACATAAAAGATTAGTCAAAAAGTGCTTACCCCTTACTAAAGATGAAAACAAGTATGGAAATAGAATAAATTGGACATCACAGTGTACAATAATGCTTTAGACACATTAAAGACAAGTCCAATCATACAGTTTCCTTATTCGGACAAAAATTATACACTAATGACTAATGGCTCCAAAACAGGATTAAGCTTTGTCCTCTTACAGTCTGACCAAGACAATAAACTAAAACCAGTTGCCTACGGATCTCGGACATTGCAACCTGAACAGCGTAATTGGCCTATAATGCATATAGAATTATTTGCAATAATAATGGGAATCACAGAAAATAAATGCTACTTGATGAATAAGAGATTTACAATAATAATAACAGATTGCAAGTCACTTACCTGGTTAAGTCAAACAAATCATACTAATGGTCGATTAATTAGATGGAACCTAGAACTGTCTCAATATCATATAACATAGTTCATCAACCCGGAAAAGAAAACTTAGTATGTGATGCTTTCTCAAGAAACCCGTCTACTCAATTAGCTAGTCAGGAATATTATGAATTTATCGACTTTCAAAACATACAAATCGTAACAGATGATGAACAACAACAAACACCTTAGAAAAATACGAAATGTTTTATAGACATTCCGGAACATTCTAAAACTACATCTATATTAAATATTTTTTGTCTTAATGAAACCGTCGATTTAAGCATAGATGAACATAATATTACGATATTACAAAAACAATGTCCAGAAACTAGACAAATATATGCTTACTTAGATCAAGAAATATTGTCCGGAAAAAAACGGTGAAGCTAGGAAAATTATATTAGAATCGAACCAATATGAAATTCTAAATACAAAACTATACCATATTTTTCAATCAAGAGCTTAAACGTCAGTATCGAATAAACAATTTATTCACCAATTAGTTGTTCCAAAAGTTCTCCGAAAGTCTGTTATGAAAGCATATCATGATCGTGTACAAGGTTGTCACATTGATTTCAAAAAGGTTTATGAAGCAATTAAATTAAATTATGACTTTCTGACGATATTTCCACTTACATTCGGATACATTCTTTTCATTCGCATTCAAATAAAGTCCGTCTACTACATGTATGAACACTTTTTCATAATTCTAATTTGAAATTATTAAAATAAAACTCCACTGTGAACTAAATAGATAAATGGAAATACGCCGCATATAGCTCTCAACGAATATAGCTGTCGTAGAGTTTTAATTACTCGTCGATTCTTTAATTGCAACGAATATGTATACGTTAAGATGCACCATTTTGACGGATAAAACTCCCAAAATTTAAGAATGCAATATGTTTGTGTTTTCATATATAACAAACATGAGTTCATAGTCATTATCAACAACATCATCATCATCATTATGTTTCAACATAATTGTCAGAACATCATCATAATCATAAGCATCAGCATGAATAAATCTACATCATTGTCATCACAAGTTCATATTACCACTATCATCAGCATCATCATTATCAACATAATCATCCCCGCCTAATCATCTTCAACATCATCATCATCATCAAAAGGACATCAATATCAGTGCAATATGATCAATAGTATCACCAAAAACAACTGTACATCATCCAAATCCTTTTCATCGTCATCATCATTATCATCATCACAATTATCATCTTCATTAGCAATTCATTATCACCATCACCAATTTGAAATATTTTAAAACTCAGACATAAATAAAGACAAACAAATAATAAATGTTAAAAGGATTCTCTAAAGTCTCATATTTTGCTCATTTTATCAATGGTGAAATCAAATAACTTTGAGTAACGCCGCTAATTAGTGTGGGTGTGAAAACGTGTGAGACTTCTCACTCAATTATTGCTCATTATCATCGCGTCAATCAAAAACCGCTATATGAGTAAACCTTTTGGATAACACGGTTATTTAATACCAAACTGAGCTTGTAAGATTTATTTTCTAAATACATATATTTCCAAAAAAATAACTGCACATTTTGTTTCTTATTTGATTTTTAATCTGTCTGAACATACAAGTTATTTTGTAAGTAAATTTTGTATCATGATATAACGTTTTAAACTAATATATTTCTTTTTCCTTCCTTCATGTATTGAAATATGAAACATTGTACACTTATTCTAAAACAATATGTATTTACTAAAATTACCGGAATAATCTTTAATCAAACACAGATTTTCATTATTCTATTTACATATAAATATTTCCTCGTGTCATTGTTGTCACAAAGGTATGTTACTTTTCAATATAATTTATGTACATATATATAGTTATTGTATAATATAAATATTTTGTCCTTTTCCAGTCAGAACTAATAACGGTTCCTGCAACATACGCACAACATCGTCAAGATATACCAAACATCAAAATGGCAAGTAGCTGTAGTAACGCAGTTAATTCGTTCGAAAAAATACTAGAAGCCGTGAAATATGAGGAAAACTTTGATGTGGAAGATGACAGTAAGTACATTATGTATGATATGACATCAGGTGAAGAAACAGACGAGCATAGTTTGTGTTTTGATTTTGACACCGAATTTCATGGCGACGACGCAATACACCAATCGCATTATGTAAGATACCAAGGAGACGATCTTGCGCATCAAGAAAATGACGTTATACATCAAGAATATGATACGTTACGTCATCAAGAATATGATACGTTACGTCGAAAAGAAACTGATGCACACGTAGAAGAAGATGCAATACAAGAAGATGCTAAATCACAAAGAGAAAGAGCTCTAAACAAAACAGATGATGTTATTTGCAAAGGAGATATCGCTAAACGGAAAAGAGATTTTAAAAAACAAAAATCAGTCGAGAACAAATGTGGAATTTGTCATAAATCGTTCAAGCGCAGATATTTGTTAGTAGAGCACATGTCGTTACATACTGGAGAACGTAACTACGAGTGTTTGATATGTAAAGAACGATTCCGATTAAAGAAAGTTCTTAATAGACACATGAGTCGACATAAAGGTGATAAACAGTACAAGTGTCAGGTTTGTCAAAAATCTTATGACAGTCTTAAACTTTTTAATGACCACACAAATATTCACCGCGGCATCCGTTATCAATGCAAGTATTGTGAAAAGTCGTTTTCGGCCTCAAGCTCTTTAAGAGATCACTTGAAACTACATGCTGAACCAGGAAGTTCCAAATTAAACTATTACGTGTGCAATATATGTAAAAAATCATTTGCGAGTGAAAGTTCATTAAGAATGCACATGGAAATACATAACGGAACACAAGACCAGATTTGCAACATTTGTGACGCTAGATTTAGCAGAAAACATGACTTACAGAGACACATGTTCATACATACTGGAGAAAAACCATACAAATGTTCACTATGTCCTTGAGCATTTCGACAACCGGGAGAGCTTGGTAGACATATGGCGTGGCATAGAGGGGATCACAAGCAATCGTGCAAGCAATGTGGTCGAAAATATGCTAGAAAGGATGAGTTTTTAAGGCATATTAGTACACATGAAAAAGAACTGAATAGTGCAGATGCAACCACAAACAAATTACAATGTAATGTTTGTAAAAAGTTTCTGACATCTGAAATAAAACTGCAGCAACATTTAGAAAAACATAAACGTGAAGTTATGACATTAAAATGTGAGGATTGTGGAATCATATTTAGCACATCGAGTAATTATAAAAGACATGTAAGAGATAAACATAATCAGAAACAAGATGACGTTACTTCACAGAATTACAGCAAAACAACGGAAGATATATCAGGTCCTTTCGAGTGTGACTTGTGCTCAAAGCTTTTTAAAAGCAAACGTACACTAACTGAGCACATGAATAATGTACATTTGAATAAACATAGCTTTGTCTGTGATAAATGTGACAAAACCTTTTTCAAGAAAAGAGATTTGAAAATGCACGAAGAAAGGAAACATAAGAATATGTCATGATATTTTATCAGTGTTAAAAGCAAGTGTGGAACATCAAATGCATAGCCTGCTAAGAAAAGTTATTTATACTCGTTGACCAGCTTTTCAATTGAATTTTGCATTTTTACTTTTTTATGTTAAAATCTTTTTTACAGTTTGTCGAAACCTATAATTGGCGAAAGCTTAATCAACTGTTTGAACATATGTGCAATTGTCTATTATCAAATTATGAGCTGGAGAATTTTGCAGGAAATGAGATGCAAACATATTTAAACAATACCCTGATGTCTCGAATTTTAGCTGTTCTATATTTTGTTTGAAGGCAATCGGTTTTATGGTAGTTTGAGTGGAATGTTGATATGCAAAATATTTGACATTTTAACAACAGAAACTTTTGTCTGCAGTTTTAACATGAGTTGTTTTGGGTTTATTGATACTGGTGGGTCAGACGAGGTTTTTGAAACAATTTAACAAAATAGTAGATTGACCTCCAAATAAACCAAATAACAGAATTTGTTCATTTTGACTCCAATTAACTGTTGAAAAGTTATAAGAATATCTGGTCATAAAATGTCTACTAGTTCATCTTCACGTGCTGCATTTCTTGCTTGGACGCCCTTTGATGCTTTGCATCAATGCTTTTCATATATCATTTGCCACGAAACATGTTACGGACATTTTGAAAAATAAAGTCGATGAAAGTTTTTTTTGCTTATTTAATATGGATATTTTTACCATAATTGGTTGTTGATATTTGTTGAAAATCAGTAGCATTATAGGATAAAAAAGAAAATGTACATGCTTTGATAAATTTTATTAATCTAAAGCTACTTACTACAGTAGTGACACAAAAAGAACAATGTTGTACTATTGTCATGTCACATTACAAGTTTTGAAAGTCTTGTTTGCATTGGAATTACTTTCCTTACCAGGTAGGCATCGGTGAAAGCATTTTTTTTTAATTTAAATTCTGGTCCCTCTCTAATGGACAGTGCATACGATAAGCATAATTATGCAAATTTAGATGATTTACAAAACATCTTGAAAAATGTACAAAAGTATTTTATCCAAACAGAAAATGGCCTGCGTAAAGTAATGATCTCATTTTTGCGCGCAGCTTCTCAATTGCTGCATATTGCAGCAACATTTGTACTTGTCTATATTGTATCTAAAATCTTTTTTCTGCTTAGGGCTTCTACCAAAAAAAAATATAAATAAGTAAAATTAATACCCTGGCATCAATAATGACCCCTGCCCTCCCCCGTGAGGTACATTTTGTAGCGAGTATTATGGCAAAACTCTCAAAAGGATTCTTGTCAGAATCATTTAAGAAGCATAATATTTGTAATATTTGACATAAGCCCCGCTATCATTTGGTCTATAGTTTGCTCGAATTGTACCCGGGGAGTTAAAGTCCAACCTCGGCTTCGATATATGGTGTATAGCATGATTAAGACTATTCCTATAAAACAATTCAAATTATGTCCCAAGTGTTCATTACATACATGACGTGCAAAACATATCTGATATGTTTATTACCTTGGGTGTATGTATTTATGTATACATATATATGATAAAAAAAAGCATAACAAATGCTAACGAACAATTACGCGCGTGTCATTCTACTGAGGTTATTTCAATTACTATAGTTAGGCGGTGCTGCCCTGCCTTCAATATCTCGGGGTTGCAATTAGTCTGAATGGCCTGTCCTTAATGTCATTAATTCCCAATGGTCGTTTGTCCTTAGATCAAAAAGTAGAAGCTGTTTTGACCTGAAACTGTCTCATGTTTTATTTAAATCACTCAAACCAGTAGACGGCTTTACCAGATCAGTAACAGAATGAACTTCACAAAAAGGTTCCTTCTAAATCAAGTTTATGTGTGTTACTTTATACCGAGTTGTAAACCAAGTGTCCACTAGGTTCCAGGGAAAATTTTGTCGAGATATTTAAGCAAAATATTAGCATATTTGGTATCAATATTTCCAGAAACATATCTAAACGATGGTTTACATCTTATTGAAATATATGATTATATAATAAGGATTTTGATAACGTATAAACAGTACAACGGTAAACAGTTACTGAATTGTGAATTTTTAATTGCGTTTTTGCCCTCGGATAATTGATTTTAATGGAACAGCATTCCACAGAAGAGATAGTCAAAACAAGAGTTAAAAATGACAATTCTCATGATTTTGCCGCTTTTACTTTTTCACCCTTCCGCTATTTACACGAAACAAAATTATAATCAAATTTCAATACAAAGCAAACAAATGTGTGAAAAATGCATTTCTGCAAATTTTAATCCCATATGCCAGTAGGTTTACAAAATTTCCAAGTAACAAAGTCTTTCTTTTGCAAATGAGTATATAACTTTAAGATATCGAACACACTTAATACATGTACATCTATTTTGTCTATTTTAGAACATTTACAAGATTTTGTTTTATATGTTCAAATAAAGGAACATTACAGACGTTTGAATGGCATATAAAATAGTTCAACTTCAATTTAAATATACAGTTACTTCAAAATATCTAATATCACCGAGACAATAGAAGAATATGAATTTTTTAGTTCATAAAAATCAAAACTTTTTTACATGAAATTTTGATTTCAGTAACTTCTGGTGATTACAAAATAATTTAGAATAGATGTCAATATCTTATTATTTATAAATAAAATAATCCATATCGTAAACGAATTAAAAAAATATATATATTCCAGTTGTTAATGCTTTTAACATCCGCTAAAGTATGCATAATTTTCAGCTATTGAACAGTTTACGTTTTGTTCTCATATTAACTGCTGAATGTATTTGAAGGTACGGCGTCTATTTGAATACATCATGAAATTTTACCCTTGTGAATAAGAGTTTCATTGTTGTCTAAAAGCTGAAAGGACACTTGATTAATGTTGTTTACCGATCGTTGCTAGACAACATACACTATTATAATTTATTATGGGCATTTACAATGATTAAAGTCGATTGAAATAATATCATAAGTAGAATATGTGTATTTTTTGTTTTAATACAATTTGCATAAACTGTTCACAACAAAGCATAAAGAAAAAAGAATATTTTGAAGATTCATCTGCTTAAACATATTTTTTCCATGTTTTTCATATTTATTTTTTCACTATAGCTCGAGTTGAAGCAACAGCTGATAAATGCAAGTCCCAGTCAGCCTGATTTGAACAGGAGAATAGCAACTTGTCCCAAGTAAAAATATATGAAGTTTTTGGTTTCGTGAGTTACGTAACTACCAAAGTTTCTTCCCACAATGCAATGCCAGGTAGGGTTGTATTTCTTGTCGAATTCTATTTTGATGTAGGCGGCTATGTCCTTTTCTATATTAAACTTTTCAAGGGCTTGTGTTGCACAATCGACTGCATCTTGTTGCATGTCTTCCGACATGTCGGCGTTCTTTATTACAGCTTTTTGGTCGGTCATTTTGGCTGAAAATGATATACATTTTGACATAACAAAACTGACATGTCAGACAAACTTGAAGGTAGACATTCTTCATATTAGAATTCAGGAATCCGTATACAGTTTATTCAGTTTCTTTCTTTAATAAATAGTGTGTACCTTTATAGCAGAAAAAAATCCAGTCTTTTCTATATTACAAGCCCATGGATTAAAATACCTCCATATAAAAAATAATGCATGTTAAATAACGTTAGTTCCTCTCAGCTTTTTTTTTTGCGTACGACAATATCTTGCAGTTGCATTCTCGTAATTTTGAGTTGCTCTATTCCTCTAACATCAACTTTATAAATGATAAATCAATTTAAAGCTTTTAGCTATAATGGTATGAAAAACAAATTATACATAAAAATAACGGGAATTACGTTAATGTAACGTTACATATTAAAGGAAAAACTCTGAACGACGCAAAATCTCAGTAACATAGAAAATTATAACTCTTACCGGTGAAATATACGAATTCACGTTTAAAAATATTTTCTCTATCTCTGGATGCAAATTTTTATCAATAAATGCTATTTATATTTGATTGGAAACGCTACGTTGCGTTCGTTGGCTATAAGGTTGACTATATTTAGTTATATCTATAACCGCGCGATTTTTGCACGGTGAAGAAGTGAAAAATTGCATTTATTTTACAATTTAATTAATATCATAAAACTACATAGCTAGAAATACACGTACTAAATAAAGGTAAAGTGTAAACATTTTCACAATCAATTGTTTATAATAAAATCTCAGAGAAGTTGTTTCTTATTTTAAATGAAAAATATAAATATTTCGACATATTATTAAAAGTTCTTTTTCATTATATTTTTTCTGTGAAGTAGGCCACCGACATAAATACGGTTGTTAATTATGTCGGAGGTTGTAAAACCTAAACTCTTTCATCTAAGAATCTATTTCATACAAGCTCTATTCTTTTAGCATATTCAGGGTCATAGCATAAATAAGGTTACCGTGTCATGTTCAATGTCATACAATGCCGAAGGTTATTTTACACACATAACTATAGGTGAAGTCTTAATTTTGAAAATGCAAAAAGGTAAGTTATAGACAGATATACCTAAGATTACAGTTCATCTTAAAAACATAAACTATATTGGCCGTCAATGTACAATACCATCAAGATTAAAATATTTTAGCATCAATGTATATAAAGGTGCAAATTTTAGAACATAAGTGGCTCAGGGAAGGGACGAGGCCAATTTAAATCGAAAGTGTTTTAGAATATAATGTTTAATGCCAAATATGAATCATGCAGTTCTAGGAAATAAATTTGTTTTAAAGATTTTAATACAATTATTGATTGTAAAGGTAGATGCAAAGGGCCAATCTTTCTTGCATAAGTTGAACAAAATATGTAGGTGAACACAACGCAAATATCTATAGTCTGTTCACTTTATGGTTTTTGTCCAGTAGATTTTTATATTTTTTCCATATAACTCTATTTAAAATAAATACTTAAATATATATATCTTTCATCAAAAATAAATAAACATCAAAATGGCAAGTAGCTGTAGTAACGC